TATATATATTAATAGTTACTCCAAGGTACACATAGTGAGGTCAGTGGATGCGGACGGAGAACTTTTAAAAACTGTTTGTGAAACAAAGACGCATATCTTCTGCATGCTGCTCAGTGGGTGGTTGGCGGGTGCTCTGGTGGGGTTTGCTTCTTCTTTCCTACCAAACATCTATTGTCTTTATCTCCCCTCCTTCTTTTTGCGTTTGTTACTCTCTTGTAACCAGAGCTGGTTGTAATTATTAATACTTACATTACAATTTTCGGTACTTTTACTGTACTCCGGTACATTTTGAGAACCAGTACTTTTACTGCACTCCGATACTTTTTATAAAAGTACTTTTGAATATTTTTAAAGTACATTTTGAGTACTTTTGAAGCTTGATGAAAGAGTAAGTGCCGGCATTTCTGATCATAATTTACGGAACAAATACCCGGGCGGGCACAGCCGGTCAACCAAGAGTCAAAAGTTGAGATCACACTAAGTGTAGAATTCTGTGGTTGAGATTTTTTTTAAAAACTGCCCGTAGCGTCAAAGATCAGCCACTCTCGTGAATGTGATCACAAGCGCTGTAAAACTCCATGAAACGATACAATGATCCCCAGACGGGATCACACCAAGGTGAGAACAGACCGATGCGTTTCTTTTTCCCAAACATCACACTCGCATCTGAGCTCGCCACCTGTACTTACATCACTCGCTGGGTGGGTAGGGCCTACAAGTTCGCTCCAGGCAGGATCACATCAAACTGTGAATACTCTTCCCTGACCATTGAAGTTGAAGGCAGTTTTTCTTTATTCCCGAATTTGCGAAACAGCCTGAATTTTAATTGGTGTGGTCACAGCGTAATGGTACGTAACGACATTAAAGGCGGGGGACTCGCCATCAGAGATGGAAGGCTACAATTTTTGGACAGGTAAAGAGGAGGGGCAACTGGATAAACGTAGAGATACAGATCTCCAGACGATAATATGCTAATGAGAGTACGGTATAATATAATGGCAGGCCTCATGCCACCGTGCTACTGTGATTGGTCATCAAGGTTGACCACTCTTTGCTCGCCATATGTCATAAACCCACCCATGGGTCACGTCAGTTCATGGGTCACTGTAGATTCTTCCTGGGCTTCGTCGGCTAAGATCCCGTATTTCCCTTGCTCCCGAGCACTGGGATCTTAGGCGGAGACTACAGTAGTAGAGAATCTTTGGTTACACTACACTTACTAGACTCAAGGAAACGACATGTATTTTGGTTTGCCGTGGGCGCCGAGGACTACACAGTGTGACCACAGTGTCTTACCACTATTATAATCAATTGAAACTGAAACTGAGTTCTCAATGTATATCAATCTAACAATTTTTTAGGTTACCTCAATTCCTTTAAAACTTTTTTGTGATTTGTGCTTAAGGCTACCTTGATTCCTTGAGGATTTGTTAATGAAGAATTCAAAGCACGTTTCCTTTTTTTTTTTTTTTTTGCTGGCCGCTTTCATCAATTTTATATTTTCTAAAGAGCAACTTTGTCTCTACTTTTTCCAATTTGGGTACTTTTCATACTTTCCGACCTCTAGGACTGACTTACATTTGATCACATTGTCTTGCTCAAACAAGTTCTATTTGTAATATCACTTATTCACTAGTTGCGTCTGTTTGTTTGCAGGGTTGTTTTTTTTCAATTTCACGGACCATTTCCACCTACGCTCAGTGCGTATATTCGAATGCTTTGTATTCTGTTTACATTATTAGTAATAAATTGCCTAATTTGTCAAATATACTAGATATGTTATTCAATATGATGTTTTTGCATTAGCACTGAAGTTTTTTAAAGCATATTAGCAGAAAGTACTTAAAATGTACTCATTAGTACTTTTTTTAAAAGTACTTGTACTCAAGTACATTTTACAGGAAAGTACTTTTACTGTACTTAGGTACATATTTTAGATTGTACTTAAATTTGTACTTAAGTACCTTTTTTCAAAGTTCTTTAACAGCTCTGCTTGTAAATCTCTAATCTTCGGCACTTATATGACCTTATTGTGTTGCAAGTGCCGTAAAACTCCTACTAAAACTAAAACTAGCATGCTGCTCAGATGTGGACCTAATAGGTACAATATTCTTAAACTTTTTCCTTTTTAAAAAATAATTATCATACTTATTACAATTGCTCAAACTGTGGTGTTGGTTGAACGTGAGCGGGGAATTAGATAAAAATTAAAATTTCACGATTTAAAAAAAATCAAGGGAAAAAAACATACTGTTTAAAAAATCGATTTTTGAAAGAATAAAACAATTGTTTCGATCTCTCTCTAATTTTACGAAGTTCTAGATGTAAAAGCGTTCTCTGATAGAGGAAAACAGATCCTTCCCAATCACATCCTCACCCCCGGCCATTCCCATCTCTGTCTATCTGTCTGCCTGTCTGTCTGTCTGTGCCTCTATCTATCTCTGTCTCTGTCTCTGTCTCTGTCTCTGTCTCTGTCTCTCTCTCTCTCTCGCTCTCTCTCTCTCTCTCTCTCTCTCTCTCTCTCTCTCTCTCTCTCTCCCTCTCCATCTCCCTCTCCATCTCCCTCTCCTCCCCCCCCTCTCTCTCTCTCTCTCTCTCTCTCTCTCTCTCTCTCTCTCTCTCTCTCTTCTTCTTCTTCTTCTTCTTCTTCTTCTTCTTCTTCTTCTTCTTCTTCTTCTTCTTCTTCTTCTTCTTCTTCTTCTTCTTCTTCTTCTTCTTCTTCTTCTTCTTCTTCTTCTTCTTCTTCTTCTTCTTCCTTAACATAACTCCGTACTTCCACTGTGGCCCCTCTCAACACTATACTATTAGCTTATTTCAGAGGCATGACCTCGGAATTTAGCTCCCGTCTCCGATAGAAACAAGCCAAATTGTGGGCTGTGAGCCTTGAAAACTCAACTAAAAGAGCCAAATTCAAGAACACGATCTGCCTGGAATTCGAACTTTTTAGTTATGGAAACCCTCGAGTGTTATAACAGAAATTTGTCCGTAGAAAAAGACCAATATCTCAGAAAAGCCACACCCTAGGCCCTAGACAGGTATAATAATTTATGGTGGGTGTTTAGAATACCCCTTTCTACCACTTTACGTCCGAATTATTTCTGTTGCAATTGGTCACTTTAACTTTAAGCAATAATTAAGGAGGCTATCCCGAAAAAATGCTGTTTTGAGAAAATCGAAGCCAAGTTTTTGGACTCTTATTCCGTTTCTTTAAAAGACAAGGAGAGTTTTCTCTATATAACCAAACAAAAATACACACCGATGAAACCAAACTTCTCCTATAGGTAGGAAAGTGCCCACTTTCGGTGTAGGCCCAGATTTCTGGAACAGATTTCTGGAACCCCCGAAATCTGGGTTAGCCCACTTGTCCTTAAAAGCGACCACCAATTAATTAGTGAAGGATTATTTTGTCTGGACAGTCTCTCCACTCCAGTGCATTCAAGCTGGCGATTTTCATTGGATGCAAGCCAAGTCCAAGCCCATTGTACAGATGCTGGCACATTGGTTTAGTATTTCACCGCGCGTGCACGCACACACAAACACACACACACACA